ACTGGAGAAGCTCAACGATGAAGAACGATAACCCAAAAAAAAAATGAGTCTTGATTGTGTTACTTTCCTAGTCTTATTACCTTTTGGTTGTTTTTGCTTTCTTGAAAAAACTGATTTTTTACTAAATTGGCGTAAACTTATTTCCTTGGGCTCAAAGTTCAGTGCAGGAAGGTGGCTCCGCCCCTGCTTAGCTGGTGTTGTCATTGAAAAGATTGTTAAATTGGACTGGGCGGTGGTCTTGGGCCATTTACATTAGGGCAGTGTGTATGTGATAATTACTAAAAACCAGCTCTTTAGTTTCAAGTTTATGAAAATCAGGTTTTAGCCTTATTTAATCAAAAATCAAGTTTTATCTTTTTTTAATTAGGGTGTGTTTGAGCCACATTATTTTGAAAGAATGTATTCTGGAATATTAGATTGATGGAGAATTTGTGGTTGAAAAAGAATGAAAAGTTATTGATATGATAGAAAATATTATTTTATTGAAAAATGCGTGGNTGATGGAGAATGTGTGGATGAAAAGGAATGAAAAGTTATTGATGTGATAGAAAATATTATTTTATTGAAGAATGTGTGGTTGAAAATGAGTAGAAGAATGAGAATGAAAAAAATAATGTGTACCAAACAAGGGTTTAATAATGATATTTTAAAATTAAAATAACATATATACCCACCCTACCCCCACCAAATTTGTTTTAAATATAAAACCTAAATTCATCACCTCTCACCATTTTCGTCGCCTCCACCGCCACCTCTCTCCACCATCACCACCGTCGCCCATCGCCTCCTCCTCCCTTCTCCTCTCCCTCCCCTCCCTCTGCTGCGAATCGCAGACACTCATGTCGTTCAGCAGCGTCTCCCTTCCCTCCCTCTATCTTCCGCCTTTTCTCCCTCCTCCCCCACTATGATTGGAGTGAACGACAGCTGAAACATCAAAATTTGATCGACGTGGACTATAAAAGAGGAAAACTAGGATGATCTGCGTTATACTCGGGGCAGCTCAAGGGGATAGGCAAATGGCTCGTAGGTGGGGAAGTGGCTGGCAATATGGAAAGTCACAGAAAAGAATTGTTGGGCATAGGATGAGATGAGGAAAGACATTAACTCAGAAAAGAATTGCTGGGCAAAAATATGGAGGAAGATCTGGCGATGAATGCTTATGATTCTGATAGGAACAACAATTGAGGTTATAGTTACTAAGGCTAC